TTCTCCATTAGCCGTATCCTAGCAACGGCTTCTAACGAGGGAAATTCTTCAGCTTTCCGGTCTCAGGTCCTCCCGTCATAGCCGCCCGTGCAGAACTGCCTCTCAACTGGCAACTCAACTGACTGGATCCCAGACTGGCTGCCATTTCATACCAACCACGTAGTCTTCTCTTCATAGGCTGACTTTCAACTGACAACTGAACTCTCTCACCAACCAATCAGCTACTTCATGTCACTTCACTCAACAGAACTCTATCACCAACCAATCAGCTACTTCACGTCACTTCACTCAAATGAATTGCTGACAACTAAACTCTCTCACCAACCAACCAGCTACTTCATGTCACTTCACTCAATTGAATTCCTGACAACTGACTATTTTGGATCTCCACTGATTCTTCTTATAACATATCAACACGAACCGCAAAGTTAAAGTCAGAGTCAAAGTTACTTTACGACATGCGGTTTACCGTCAATCAGTTCGTCTTGGCGTCAGACCCCTTGAGACCCAAAACCAGAGATTTCTTTTTTCAACCAAACTCTTGTGATAATAGTCCTTATGAAAAATCCTCTCTGACGACAAGATGGGTTTGTCTCTAATGAATGCACTTGGCCTTTCATCAAGTGTATATTTCGCACTATAACATGTTATTGAATATTCTTCCTTTTACACTACACGCACGTCCACTGTCAGTACAGGCTTTAAAGAGAACATCATGTCTATCTTACACACCTTATGGTACAACGACAACTTATTCGTTTCAACGGCCGCAAGTTAGACCACCGCCAAGTTTAAGGTCTTATATTGAACAGCAAAGAAAACCCCATTTCCATTGTTATAGTACAACAATACCTCGACCGTTGCATAAGTTTCCATTACCGCGGGAACCCGTTTACTAAGAATTTGCCTAGCAATTGCCCGGATATTGTTGACGTGTTTATCGGCCGTTACCAAGCAACGCATATTCCTTTCGTGAACGTATCATAGCAAACAGCTATACACGTTACAATTTTTTCAAGAGAGTGGGTTCTACTTTCCTTATTTTGGAAAAGAAGTTAAATATTGAACTTTTGTGATCGCCTTTGTTGCCTGCGTGTCTCTGTGTCTGTGTCTATCCCCACACCCTAACACGTTTTGAACGCCAAAACCAATCTTTATGAGACTTTGCATGTACATCGCGTCACCGGAGCCGGAAACAACTGTGTACACATTAATATCTACTGTTACTAATACTAATATAGCAGCATCTTAAATCGTTGGGATAATATCCATATTATTATTTAAATGCTTAAACTGATTGTCATAAATCTTTGTATTCATTTCATGCCATCCCAACAGCATACCTCATAAATCACTTCCATCAGTAATACCAACATTACAGCCTCTCAAATCATATTGCATTATTGAGTTCATAATGCATATATGAAAAGTTTTTTCGCCTTGTCGTATCAAATACTCAAGTTATAGTTAACAGTGTTCCTGTTTAGTTGTTACAAATAGGATCGTCTTTTCTTTCAACTGCTCTCCCAGCCCATTCAGGACCCAGGCCTCTTATTCAGTTCCGCAATCAATTTCACAGACTGTAGGACTCCTTGGACGAGTGATCAGCTCGTCACAAGACTACTACCTACACACAGAACAACAAAAACAAAATAAACACATACACATACCAAACATTCATGTCCTGAGTGGAATTCGAACCTATGATCCCAGAGTCCGAGAGAGCGAAGAGAGTTTCTGCCTTAGACCGTGTGGATACTGTGACGGTTCAAATGGGGCCGTCTACACAACAATAGTATCTAAGAATGTAAACGGAAACAAATCGATGCTAATATGTCACCACTCGCTTACTGTGCAAAGGTATTCCGCTAAATGTTTCGACCTTCAAGAGATCATCATCACGAATTTTTTATTGCTAGTGAGGTGGGACTAAGTCCCTTGTACTGCGGCCACTTCTGGCCTATTGTACCAGCCCCAGATGATATGTGAGGGTGATTGTGGAGCAATTGGTGGAATGAAGATTGGCAGGGGAATCGGAAGTACTTGGAGAAAACCTGCCCCAGCGTCAATTTGTTCACCACAAATCTCACTTGACCAAACCCGGGATCGAACCCTGGCCGCCCCGGTTGGAAGCCAGAGACTAACCGGTTGTGCTATGGTGCGGCCACAACAACTCAAGTTACACTTGAGATATATAGTTAGTTCTAAGATAAGCTTAAAGTTATGAGTAGGGGTCATCAGATTTTGTTGTACTTGATAAGTTGATGTAACTTGAATGGGGGGGGGGGAGGCTTCTCAAAATCTCTGTAGCGCTGATATACTTCTTTCGTCGTGTAAGTGTTGCTCGGCTGTTTTTTTTTCTGTCTTGAGCCGTTCTGAACAAGTTTTGTTCTTACAGAATTTAATATGTGTATGTTATGTGTATGCGAAGGAATGCCCCGTTGTTTTTGTTGTGTTTTTTGCATTGAGGCTCGTTTTAGTTCCTATCAAATGTTTGATAATTCGACTTCACAGTATAAACAACTTTCATGGTATTCCTGCTTGCTTTCGCATGTTTTTTTCGTGGCTTATTCTTCAACTCTACAAGTACAGCCGATTTGTTCCTCCGAAATGATTGGCTGTGTACGAAATACACAACTTTACATCGAAGGAGGCACCATTCTTCAAACGTCATTACCGTTTCATCTTTCCAAAGTACCACCTTCTGAGAACTAAACTTCAAGCAGGCAGCCAACACTTTCTGACTGAAGCTGTTACGATTCTCAATCGAGACATATCCTCATCTCGGTCCTGATCCTGTGTTTAGACCGTTTACACGGAACAAGAAAGCAGTCGTGTTATCACGTTCGTGAAATCTGGAGACGAGAATATGTTTTATGTCCAGTAATTTACATTATAAATATTCATGTTTGTAACTAGGCTTGTGACTCGCCAAATATATCTTTGTAATTTAATGTAGTTAAATGCAGTAATAATTATAGTTAATTAACAACAGTAGGCTAAATTTAAATTAATTTAATTACTTTTGTATTTGTGTCTACTCACGTGGCTAGACACTAAGAATCAGGTACGATAAAAACTAAAACAAAATAGAAATATAAGAACACAAAGACATAAAGGTAATAATTCAGTTCATTTCAATTCGTGTTTATTTACGTGCAAAATTAACAGCACATACGTCAATTACAAAGCCAGCACAAGTACATAGAAATACAAAAAAATAATTAAAGAACAAAATACAAATATTATAGTCTATACAATGGCAATAAATTAATAGTAATTCCAAGAAAAATTGAAGTTAGCCTTAACAGGAGAGAAAAATAAAGTAAGTACATTTCCAATACACGTAAAGTTCTAGTATTTAGATGTGACAGGCTAGGAGAAGCTGCGCAGTGGATGGGCAGGTCCATTCTTGAAAGTTGAGGGGTGTTGTGATTAGTTATTCGTCTGCATTCAGTGCGAGCAGACGTCTCAAGAACTTTCTTCATTGTACAGTCAAGTTAAAAAGTTTTGACTCTTGGAGTCGTCTTTGAGTGTATTATTCTCTAATTACTGTACCATTATTTTATTTTTTTTATTCGTTGATTTTCTTTTCTGTTTATTTATATTTGTACATTTTTTCTATCTCCTCTAACATGCAACCTACAAGAAGTAAATTGAGTGGAAAAGTGTTGCATTCACAATCAAGAGAAATTGTTAGTAATGTATATAAGTATATGAAAGAGGCTGGGCCAACAATCACAGTGAAGAACACAGGAGTGGAAGTAGCAAAGGCAAAAGTTGTATCGGAAAGTAGTGTCAGACGAGTAATACGAGAAACAAAAAATATCGAATCTGGGGCTTCCACTTCCTTTTCGACACCCCATAAAGAAAGACCTAGGAAATCCCCACTAGCCAATTTGGACGACTTTAACGAGTCTGTGGTGCGAAGAACAATTAATGACTTCTACATAGTCGAAAACGGAGACCTACCCTGAAAAAAGTTGACGAAAAGTTGAAGAAAACCTTTGATTTTCAGGGACGCATCTCCACATTAAAGAAAATTATTTTGAAACTGGGGTTCCGCTGGAAGAAAACGTAGGTGCCAACATGTAAGGAACATTGAGCAACACTTAATGGCACAGGAAGGCCTTTTGGACGGAGGACGGAAGTTCTTCTTCCATGTTGGCGGTGAGAGTGATGACAGTTCTGATGATAACTCCGATTCAGCTGATGGTGACGAGGAAGGACAGGCATGTGGAGATGATATCTATGCGGACATTGCCGGTGTTGCCCCTTTAGAATAGACGTGTGTAATATGTAAATAAACTCTTCATGTATATAACAGTGAAAAGTGTATAATAGTGTATAGTGCATAATAGACTGCCATTCGGCACTTAAAACTTAACATCGGATGTGTGAACATCAACGAGACTAAACCACCATCACTATGAAACACAATGAGGTAAGAAGTTATTTCCTTTTGAGAATGCCTGTACTAAATTCCCCGCCACACTTGTCGGCATGCTGGAGCTCTCCCCGCCACTACCAATACTTCCCCTACTCCGCGTCGGAGGACTGTCAGCTCTCAGTACTAGAGTTATACACATTAATTAATTTCAAAAAAATTAAATTTTCATTAATAAAGACGATACACAGGTCTATTTACCGTGAATGACTGTGTAATGTTGAGCCGTTAAAGAGAGCTTCCCTCTGCCATCTACTTAATTTTGAACCTTACGATATATTGACACGAGGACTTCAGATGATTCATTATACTTTGTTCACGTAGCCATTGTTTTTATTTGCTTCGTAGAAAAATATACAAAATAATTCTTAATTGAAGTTCAATATATCAGCCATGTGCTTATAATATTGTGACATGTAAACCAATTGCCAAGTAATAGCTGTGTAAACAGGACACATTGTTTCCCCAGCAGAGAGAGGACACGCAATAAATAAACAGATGTTTTCTGTGCTGTCCGTGCAAGTTATATATAAAGAGGACTTGCCCATTTCTTTCTTCTACTTCTGCAATGAGTTCTGAGTTGACGTCTTTCGGTTTCTACCATTTTCTTTGTTCCTTGTATATCAGTCTGTGTTCCTTCACTCGATCCGCATATCGCAATGTGTTTAGGGTGTGTTCACACGAAAACATACCTGGGCTAATCATTCCTATCATACATGTTTTGGATCTCTCCCCGATGAAGGAGTCTCGGAGAACTTGAGTGATCTTGCTGCCTCGAAATGGGATATGACTACCTTTCTTGCCCAAAGCCCTGATACACTCCTTTAAAACCAGAAGTGACTTATTAATTGCCGCACCTTCCAGTGTTGTCTGCTTATTCGCAGAAGTCCTATCTGCTCCCCTCTCGTTACCCGCTAAATCAATCAATGAGAACGTGCCATGAACGCGGTTGCTGTCAGGTGCCCACAGGGACATCTGGAACACTGCATGAGACCGCGAAGAATTGGAGTTTGCCGATGTCTTCCCTGAAGCTCTTGAAATGTTACCAAGCTTTATGAGCTCAATGACCTCATCCACTGATTTAACGAGTATATCTGTCAACCCCACAATGTTTACTTGATGATCACCATCTTCAAGGATACGCAGTTTGACTTTATTCGCTAAGAGATCGAAAACATCGCTGTTGTAGATCTCAAAGTAGCTTGCAGATACTCTCAGATTCAGGTCTTTGTACTCAGATGACTTCAGGTATTTAAAGATATCCTCGGCAGCCATGGCGTAGATTCCTTTCTTGTAGTCTTGTGTCTTGCCCTGGAAGTCACCGCCCATTGTATAGGTCTTGCCACTTCCTGTCTGTCCATACGCAAAACATGTCGCCATTCCTCTTTCGAAGATTGTTCGGACTAGAGGCTTTGCTGTGTACTTGTAAACCAATTCGTTGGAACAATTCTCGTCAAAAGCGTAGTCAAATCTGAACCGTTGGTTCTCTAAGAATTTTGTGAGGTCCACTTTGACTTTGGGCTCATGAACGACAATCTCGTCTTTACAGGGCACCGAGATCACATCAGGTTCTTCCCTGTTTAACTCTTTCTTGTTCATCGGCCTCTTCCTGATGCAAACTGCGATCTGATAATCCTTCACGGGGTCTGACTCTCGCAAGGGATGGAACTCAATACTCTTACGATACTCATTTATCATAGCCCCAAACTCCAAATGTGGGTTTCCCTTACTTCTAATTTTGAAAACTTGTTTCTCTTCTTTCGTTTTCTTAAGTCTCTGTTGCCGGTCTTCGCCGCCTTTCTTAATTTGCTCAAACTGTATCACCACATTCTTCTTCCTCGCTCCGTCCCCTCTCTGTGCTGATGCCATTTTAGGTTGGTGTTGCTTTGGGAACCGTTGCTTCCCGATACAATCACTGGTAGCGACGTTCTGCACATCCGAAGCAGTGGCAGAATTCTGTTGGTCTCCGTGACTGTTCAGAGCAACAGGCGCCACAGCATTGCCCTCCAGACTACGCCCTGTGTCTCCATACTCCAACCGGCTGCAGGCTAAATTGACTTCCAGCCTTCTTTGTATGACTTTTGAGACGGTGTCCACAACGGATCCCGTCCTTTCCTTAGAGATTTGCATTCTTTGTCGGATGGTTTCTAACATGGGCTCCAGGCTGTCTACGCCGGCTATCAGAGACTCCAATTCAGGCATGATTATCCTTCACGCGTGTTCCACTCAAACGATATATAGTTAAATACAGTCCAAAAATTAAATTGAGTCCGATTAGTTGATTACAAATTCTCACACTGGTTGTCACCTGTTAGTATTATTGAACGCTTGTTAAGCGTAACTACGAATAATTTTAATCCTCTCACTAATCTGCTCCGTATGCAAATAACTGCAGATTCAAATAACTACTCTTTTTCGTAAAGCAGTCGTTATTTAGTAACGGTTTCCCCCCCTCATATATCTTTGCACGGACTGCACAGAAAATATCGTTTCCACAGTTACTCTATTGTTGTTAGAATATCCGTTGCAGCGGAAACGTGTTTACATAGCCGTTACCTAGGAACAAGCGTCTTGTATGGTTCAACTATACCGGCTTTCAGTCATATCAGAATATTAAAAGAGAAACATTTGCTGAAATATGTAGTGCAAGAGAGAAGAGTAAGGTGAATAAATGTATGCACTGTAAGATGGTCAGAATAAATCATGGAGAGAAACATTTCGTTTGGCTTCTTTTAACGTTATGAAACACACACACGTCACTTTCTGACTGTAGAAGACGTTTTCTGTGTTACTCAGAGCCAGAGTCAGGTCAGGGGTTGCTTTACAATTGGCTGCATAACGCCAATCAGCTCGTTTTGCGCCAAGCCCCTACAGGATCACGACTAGATTTCTTTTTGCAACTGAACGCCTGCGGTCATAGTCCTTATGTAAAATCCCATCTGACGAGAAGATGGGTTTGTGTCTTATGAATATGCTTGTTCTTTCAAGTCTCACATATCTTACATATAGCATGCTATCGAAAATTATTGCTTTTCCACTATACCCAAGTCCTCTGTCCTACTATGTTACTGTCAAAGTCAAACTCAATGTTAATTTACGACTGTTGGTTTACGGTCAATCAGTTCTCCTTAGCGTCAAGCACCTTGAGACTTATGACCAGAGACATTTTTTTCAACTGAACCCTTGTGGTCATAATCCTCATATAACATCCTCTCTGACGCGAAGATGAAGTTGTCTCTTATGAATATGCTTGGGTTTTTTATTTCATTTATTCACCTTCCATAAATCCTGTCGAGAGTACATCCTCATGCGAATGTGGGGATCGTCCTTGTTACAGTCACAACTATAGATTACAGTTGTCATCCAATAGCATACACATTTGTATAAAATGCTGATAAACATGTACAATATAATAAATAAGTAATTTTAGTAGTAAAAGTAATGGTAAACCTTATACAATTTGTACAATTTTATGCAAGTCTATTAATTGAAAATTCAACATTTAAACATAATGTCATTACTGAGTTTTGTATAACATACATTAATTATATAAATAAAAATGTAAATGTTCCTTCGTCTCTCCTCGAAGATCTCCGAAAATTCTTCACCGATTGCTTTGAAATTTTGACACAACGTTGCATTCGAACACGCGCGTGTTTTTATATACCTATTATATAGATTTCACGCCCGTGACAGGTAAAAACATGTAAAAACAGGTAAAAAGCGTGTTATACGTCGTTCATCGAATACCAACAGATCGTTGCCTAGGAATAATCGTGTCAACGAACTGTTGAAACAGCGGATCGTTGCCTAGGAATAACCGTGGCAACGAACTCTTGTGGCAACGAACTGTTGAGACAGCGGATCGTTGCCTAGGAATATAAACAGTCTACAGGAGGCCGGCGCCAGAGACCCGTGTGGAGGCGGGATCGAATACCTCCACCGTGACCCTGCGAGTCGTAGGAGGCGACGAAAAGGGAAGTCTCAATTCTGAGACAGTAAAATATGGTCGCAAGTCCCAAGGGACTCGGACCCGAGTAAGACTGCGCTGGCAAGGACCAGCAGCATATACAAAAGACAGATCCGTCCTCTCATCAGAGAAGGTGCCCCACAGAAACAAGACCGTAACTGTCAAACTATAATAATTAANTTTGTTTTCCAGTTCGTGTTCTTCCCTTTTTTAATGTTTTGCAATTTCATATGTTTTTGTTATAACTTTCTTTCTTCTTCTTCAGTGCTGTCGTTTCCATATTAACGCTAGAACAGACCGTTGCATAGGATAATAAGTTCCGTTGCGTAACAACGGATGAAACCGGAAAGTATACTTCCATGGAAACCAAACACGTCTATAAGGTGTTTTGTGCGTCGAGTAATTTCAAATCAGACTGGGGAAGAACGGGCAGACTGAGCCACAGCAAGGAGTGGCCGGGCACAGCTAGTTTTATAATAAATTGAAATAAAGGCTAGCATACAGTAATATAAAAATTGTGTATATCTAAAATAAAAATGTAAAACCAGAACACAGACTGACAACCTTGTCTTCTTTTAATTGTAAAGCAAGACAACTACTCGCACCTTAAAAATATTTATAACCAAAATAATCCTGTAAAGAATAAAAAGAATGTAAATAAAAATTGTTTTAATTGTACCTCAAAACTCTTCCTGTCACTCGATATATTGTAATAGATTATTATAGACCTTTGTTCCTAAACAGTAAACTCCCTTTTGGTATTTATTCAAATTTACAAGAGGCTGATGGAGATTATTTTGCTGACTGGTATTTATTCTATTAATCTCTGAATTTACTATGAATTTGTTTCTATTTTTTATCACAAAGAGCATAAGAGATAGTATGTACTGAGATGCCAGAGGTAAGATTTCTAATTCTCTAAATAAGTTCCTGC